AATTTGGTATAAAACTGCACTTTTACTTTAAATTAGGTACTAAATTTTGAGCATCGTTTTGCATTTCGGTGGTATATCGTTTTTGCGGGCTGCAGCGGAGTCGTTTTTGTGATCCGGCGGCGAGTCGGAAACGACGTCGTTTGGCAAACTGGGAAGTAATCAAAATTGCCGCTGCTCTATTTCAGCTAATAAATTCATAAAGCTACAACAGATTGCGGCGATTCGACACAGCATGCAGTGAAAAAGTGAATGACAGGGAAGTACTTACTTACCGACATGCATATGTACTTGCATAGGTATGTACATGCTTATATATGTATGTCCATTCAACAGGCTATTCAAAAACTGCATACATTGCCCGATTTTTTTATTATTAAATCTCAATGGTATGTACTTGTACACTATGTATACATAACTTTGTGTATGCCCTCAAAATGAGATCAACGAGCCCGCAATTAATATGAAGTAATAATTTTTGAACGCTAAAAACAGCAAAGCTATCGATATTTTTTTTTATATTTTTTTTTTTTAAGAAAAACTTTAGGTAATTTTCTTTGTTTGCCCTTTTGAACTTTTAATTAAGCCCTTTTGTGTACTTACTCTACCAGCATTATTTGACGAATATGAGCGTGTGCGCATGCTTTACCTAAAGCGTTTCGAATAAATTAAAAAAAAAAAAAAATAGTTGGCTTTTGACCGCAATTGGCTCTAAGTTTAGGCCCTTTTGTTAGTTTTAATGATGTTGCAAGAATATACACATATTAAGAATTGATACAATGTATAAGACTAACTGCGGGATAAAAAGATTTTCCTTTTTATCATTCTTATGAAATCCGGAACAAAACTTTTATGGTGCGGTATGTATCTCAATCTGTTTATTTACTTGTATTTATTTATAATTATTTTCTAATTAACTTTTCCTCTGGGGTTAACTCGGAAAATCGAGTAGCAGGTACTTTTACTGCCTATAGGAATTTTTGTAATTATATGAAATTTCTACCATGAAAGTTCGCATACAACTCAGTTATCAATCAGATTCAAGTAATCTTGGCAAAAATTATAGAGGTATGTCCAGCCGGAAAATCCACCATAGACCAGGTTTTAACAATATGCCAAATCTTGGAAAAGACTAGCGAGAATAAGATCGACACACACCATCTATTTGTCGATTTCAAAGCCGCTTTCGACACCACGAAGAGAATTTGCTTTTATGCCACGAGGTCTGACTTTATAATCCCGCGAAACTAATACGTCTGGAAATAATATTCATACAACACTGACACTGACTGACACTGGCCTTTGAATACTGCAAGTGACAATTTTCTCGGAAAAACCCCTAAACTTTTGTTAATAGGCTTGTCTAGGCTCTAACCAACCATTTAGTTTGACTATTTTAAGACATTTAAATCATGGACTTTCTGCCGCCCTCAGACCAATGTGCGTCGCCTGCAACTGCCGATTCATCAGCTAAGAATTAATTTGGAATGTTTACTGAGCTCCAGCATCCACTCACGGGTGAGCTATAATATTACTGTACTAAAAACGTAAGTTATTTTTTCCTAATTTGTTTGAAGTTAGAACCTCTTTGCATCTCGGTTGGGTGTAATTCGTCGATTCTGCAAATTTGTGCCAAAAATGAGATTTGCTCACCGGAAGTACCTGAAATCAAGCCTTATACATTTTTTACCTAAATATCGATAGTTAGATATAAATGGGATAAAAGAGCGAACTATGTTAGAATAAGACAGGTTCTACTCTCTCCTGAAAAATTTTGGCAACCTCACATATGAAGTTTTGCATTCTCTTAATACGCGGTTTTGTACTTTAGACGACGCTATACCGTTGCATCGCAATGAAACGAAAAAGCGACAGAAAAAGAGAAAGGATGGGATGAGTGGTTGGTGACGATTAAGAATAAGATAAAAGTTAAGATCAAGATTAAGAGAAGAATAGAGATAAAGTTTAATATTAAGATTAAAATTAAGTTTAGGATTAAGTTTAAGATTGAGACTAAGGTTAAGATTGGGACTAAGATTAAGATTGGGATTGAGATTAAGGTTAAGGGTAAGATTAAGGTTAAGATTAAGATTAAGAATAAGGTTAAGATTAGGATTAAAATTAGGATTATTATTAGGATTAAAACTAAGATTAAGATTAAGACTAAGGTCAAGTTTAAAATAGAGATTAAGATAAAGTTTAAGAGTAGGTATTTGCAAAAGTATCAACAGTGTATAACGCGAACTTCGCGCACTGGCTCTGTAACTGGGGTCGCTGGGTCGAATCGCAGTGACCGAGATTAAGAACTCTGATGAAGAGATGTGGTGATTTCCGAAATAGCAGCCTTAACTTCTAGCTCAATAAAAATTGTTTAATATGTGTAAGATTAAAATTAAGATTACGATTCAGATTACGATTAAGATTAAATTAAAATTGAGATTAAGATCCAGAATAAGATAGAGATTAAGATTAAGAATAATATTCAGTTGAAGAGAAAAAATAAGATTAAGATTAAGGTTAAGATTAAGATCCAGATTAAGATTAAGATTGGGATTAAGATTGAGATTGATATTAAGATTGAACTAAATATTAGCTTTGCGAGTGTATTTAATTAAAGTTAAAACGCGCGCTGTTCCACACCCTCGATAACTTCCTTAACTTCTTCTATGATTTTCAGACCAACATACAATATTTATTCTTTCACTGTCAATTAATTAATAAGAGTATACTTATTTACCAATGTTACTGCATTAGTGGTTTTTGGCCGCTGCACTTTGATCACCAAAATTCATTTTGGACTTTATATTTACATATATATTGTATATATGTATTTATATACATACAAGCAAGTAACAAAATATACATAGCCACAAACATATAAGAATTCATTGAAAAGCCATCACGAAAAAAAAA